AAGCACCTCTTAAAGACCCTGCTTCTTAATACTATTACATGTGTGGGATTCAGATCAAGAATGGAGGAGCACTCACACTTAGACCATTACAACTATTCATGACAAAATTAATAAAATATATTGTAGACTTTGGGGCAAATTTAAGAATGAAAAATACTAAATACTGCAAAGAGAAGCCAGGTTTTGCTAAAGTTTAAGTCAATCAAGAAAGACAATGATGCCTTTCCATGATCCACCCTTTGACACTTTTATCAGGAAGAAAACACTAAGATAGGTGGTTCCAAGAGCTAACACAGTGGGATGGTTTCTTATGTTTCTATTTAATCCCATCAACTCCCTTATGATACCTAACACAAACACAAACACAAACTAAATAAAATGCTATACAACAGAATATCCTGACCAGAGAGGTAAAAGCAAAATGTGAAACAAAGAAATGTGTTCTAGTAAGGAAATGTGTAAGTTTATGAAGACTCTTCCCTCTTTAAAACTGACCAGTTCTGCTGCAGAACTCCTGGCACTACTATAATTGGATTCTGAGCCTCATCTTTGTGAAAATTCTGGACCGGAGGCTTCTGACTCTGATACTTATCTCCTAATCCAGTGAGGGGAAAGAAGGCCAAAGATTTCCATGAGCATGTTTATTCTCAAGCCAATTTTGGACCAAGTGCCTTCTGGCCTTATAGGATTTATTAATCTATGTGTTACTATATCATTGTCCCCTGTTACATCAACCAAAGCCTCTCCCATAGGAAATGGTTTCCAGATTTAGATCAAACCATTCTGAGCAGCTCCAGGCATTTTAACTGAAGGTCTGTAATTTCATTCCCCCTAAATTTGATGTAGGCCAGCCATCTGACTCCAAATATAACTTGATAGCTCAAATAAAGCCAGCAATAGCTGAGTCTAGGAAGTTTTCCTCTCTGTATATTTACATAACAACTTGCTGAAAAAAACATTTGGGAATCTTTATCTGATTAGTCAAACCTGTTTGGTGTTTATATGAAAAATAAATAGAGCCCCTTAAATGTATAGAAAAATTGGCAACTGTCCAGACTGTGTTTATGCAGTCATACCCCAAATCGGAGAACCTGATGAGAAGCCACCTTGATTCTGCACACCATGGGAGAATTTCTCCAAGTCTACGTGTGATGAGGGGCTGTATAGATCATTTTAAAAGCTCTTTTCAGTTTAGAGAAACTATAATCTGAACAAACACTTCCTTACCTTTTGATAAGGGGTGAGTCATTCCCATGTGGAGCTGCTATAAACACACACACACACACACACACACACGCGCACACACACACACACACACACACACACACACACACACACATGCCTTCTTCCTATCCAAGTCCTCTCCAGGGTGGCCAGACTCCTTTGAAGTTGCTATGTTGTGGCTGCCCTGAGGGCCTGCTGTTAGGTGATACAAACAAAAAGCAGTATGGTGACAATAGGTCTCAATGGGCAACAGAGGGGTAGTTTACGTGGGGTTCCAGAGAGGAGCAGTTTCATATTTCAGATGAGGCTGAGAATGGAAAAGCAGAGTAGTGCTGAGCCCTTCATTTCTGAGCTCTGATCACTTGAGCTGTCCTCAAGGGCTGAGTGATAGGAAAGAAGCATCCCCATTCTTTCCTAGGTGTTCCTTGGGTTGCTCTGGAGAAATCAGTGGGCCTGTGCAGGACCTTAGCTCACCCACAGTGCTTGGGGGGTGGGAAATGTGGGGCAGCCTGTGAGACGTGGTCTGGGAGATGTGGAGGAGCCACGAAGTGCCTTCTTGATGAAAGGTAACCACAAGCAGTGAATATAGTACCATGTGAGGAAAAGCTTGCAATGGGTATGTTCGATACATGCCTTCCTAGGGACACTGCAATGACAACAGTACAAAGGATATACCGTACTCAAGTACATAGTGATCTTTGAGAGTAAGTTTACAGAGATTAGCAGAAGAAGAAACGTGTGTATACCATGTGAATGGTGACTGTGAGCCTCGCCTGCTGGTAATATCTGATTCCATGCTGCTGGCCTGGCCAGAAGTGATAGAGATACCCAGGAAAGAGGCCACAATGACCCTGAAGGCTCCTCTGGAAGTTTGTGAAGCCAGGCGTCTACATGACGAGTAGCCAGGCCCACCTGCCCCTTGGATTATCCATCACCTTCAGCTCTGTCCCCTTCTGATGTTAAAGAAAGTGTTTTAGCACATGGGAAACCTTATTCATCCTCTATGACAACCAGGATGGCTGGAGAGACCTGTAGACTCAGAGCACATAAATACAGCAGCAGCGGGAGGATCACCAGGAAGGAGCAGAACCAGCAAGTTCATGGCAGTTGTCCTAAGAGGATCTGCATGCAGTTGCAGCATGTGGTTGTAAGCATGTCCTTGTCCTCAAGCGTGTATACAACGTGTGTCAGCAGGAGCTGCTGGTCTCTCCCCAGAGGACCACCATGCAGTCATCAGAGTGTAGCTCGGCTTGGGAGTTCAAGGGTATCATTTCAGAAGCAAGAGGAAGGTAACTGACATCTACGGAGTCAGAGCACAGAGACAAAGTGTGCAGCCAGTTTAACTGCCCCTAGACGTAAGTAAATAATAATAAACAAAATACATTCTAGTAATGAATGACAAAACAAAATAAAACAAGCCTTAGTACACAGTTGAAGGCACAAGTCTTTTCATTATAAAGATGAGCTGTACATGCTGATGAGAAAAATGGTCTGTAGAAGATAAAGAAACCCCAGTATCCACGCTGGAGTGGGAGAGTGATGCAATAGGCCTCTGCTGGCTGGCAGAGAGTATATCCTCCCTTCGGTTTCTCCAAAATGCATACATTTCCTTATTTCACCTGGTGATTCTTAAACTGTAGTGGGTCTAAGAAGCATCTGGAGTGCATTTGTAAAATGGCAATTCTTGGATCTGGGCCAACTGAAGCAAGATGTCTCAGAGTGGAACCATCGAGGGTGATTCTGATAAAGATGATCCAAGATCTGAATTCAAGTCTAACACTGGTACATGGTCCAGTTGAAGAACTGATCTTGCAGTCAACAAGGAAGCATGCTTATTTCTGTGGTCTGTGTACTGGTATTTTAATCACACCTACAGTAGGATCAGATTTACCAAGAAATATCTGAAGAAGTGTTTACTATGTTCTAGACAGTTTTAGGGGCCCTGTTAGTCAAACCTCTCTGTTTCTTACACACGTGGTTTTTATACTGTTACGTAGAGAATTACCTTAGTATTTCTCCTCAATCGTCCTAATCGCTCGGTGGTTTCTGGGTCAAAATTCCTGACACCCATAACTTATAGGAGGAGAAATTTATTTTGGCTCATGGCTTCAGTCCCACGGTCAGCTGGCTCTGAGGCAGAACCATGCAGGCAGAAGGGCATGGTGGAGGCAAAAGTGTTCAACCCATGGCAGCCAGGAAGCAGAGAGAGAGAGAGAGAGAGAGAGAGAGACTGAGAGAGAGAGAGAGAGAGAGAGAGAGAGGGAGGAGGTGGGGACAAGAATACACCCTTTGAGGGTTACACCATAAAGGACTTACCTCCCAAAAGGAACCACATCCTAACAACACATTTAGCTACTTACCTCATCAATGGAGGAATTCACGGATGAGTACATCACCCCGCAACCCTATCATCTATCACACACATGAGAATTTGGGGGAAATTTTGGCCTAAACCATGGCATTACTACAATGCACCATTGTATGATTGAGTCCCAGTTTGACATTTCTTCCAGAGAGGGCATGGGGTGGAGAAGAGAGAAGGCCCTGTTCACTCTTATCCTTCTGCTGCTAACCTATGCAAAATGTAAAGCTTCTGCTGACTTTCCAAGGCTTTATAATATTGCAAAATACAAATATGAATACATTTGCCAAAAACAGGGTAAGAAAATAAAATTGGTTTTCAAAAACAGCAGTGGGAAGGCTGTGAAATGGTAGGTGAACAGCACACAAGGAAATTACAAATCTTTCTGCATTGACGGAGGATCTGTACTGAGTGACAGATAAGCCTATCTTCTCCTCTTAATCAACGATCATATCCACTGTAACACCCTACAAAACCAGGAAGTAGACTGTCAGAGCAGAATGACATACATGTTTCAGGAAAAAAAGCACTATCTTTTATTGCCTTAAAATACCAAGTAATTGCTTCTTTCTCAGTAGTATCTAGTCTCAGCCTTGTGTAGTATATAGAAGCTTTTGTTTAAACTTTCAGCAAAATACGGTGCTATGGCTTACATCCAAATGCCCCTCTAAAGCCTTATGCAGAGATGGGGCTTTTGGGAGGTCATTGGATTTTGGTGGCATGACACTTATAAGTGAGTTTGTCCACTGATGAGTTCATAGCGAAATGTAGTTTGGGAGGTGAAGCCTGGTTGGAGGAGATGGGTCCCTCGGGTGTGGCCCAGAACAGCCTATCTCCTCCCTTGATCCCTCTTTCTGCTTCCTGCCTGCCATACTATGAGCTGTTTCTCCCCTGCCATGCGGCCCTGCCTTGCAGTCTGCCTGCTATAGACTGAAACCTCTACAAACGGTCAGCCAAAATAAACATCTCCTCCGCAGAGCTGTGGGTATTGGGTATTGTGTCTCAATAGCAAGAAAGTAACTGAGATATATGGTCACCTTTGCAATATTCCTATGATGATTTGCACACCAAGAGAACGAGCAGCTCATTGCATTGATGTAAATCCTAGAATTTGGTCAGTATTGTGTGCTGTCTTAACATGGTGCCCACAAGCGAGCCTTAATCATCTCACTGCAATTTTCTCTCTCTGCTCTGCTCCTATGGATAAGGTCTGCTAGACAAATAACCTTTCTTATCAAGGGCACCACAGGCAGTTCCTGATCCTTGCTAGTTTGCAGAATTATTCAAGGGAGCCAATCACATCCTCTACAGGAACCAGCAGACTCCAAACCCTCTCAGTTCTCTAAAGCTTGCCTCCCACAGCTTGTGCTGACTCCCTGTGTTCCTCCTGTGCTCCTGCATGACATACACTGACCTTCTTCCGTAGGCAGTGCACATGGAACTGTATACTCCTGGGGATCTCCTCTGTCCATTATGAGTGCGGCGTCTTCAGTCATCTTCACTACCATATGGCCACAATCCAACCTCATCAAAGTAATGAACAGGATGTAATTAAATCAACATGCTTTGTCCACTGAAATAAGATGTTTATTGAAATAACTTTTATATGCTTAAATAAATTATATTTGTATGGAATTTTAGAATGCATTAAAAATATTTTCTCACCAATATCAAGACTGCTATCAATGTGAACTACTTGTTGTTGTTGTTTTTTTTCACAACCTGCCCTTGTAACAGACTGAAAGCAAAAAATATATAAATAACAGGCTATAGTTAGTGGTCAGTCGTAGATTGTCAATCCACTTAATTTTTTGAAATAGGTACTATTACCAACATTTCATATGTGAGAAAATAGTATTAGGTAATTTATTCTAAGTTGCAAAGTCAGTAAGAAGGAGAACTTAGATTTAAATCCATAGCCAACCTGGTTTTTAAATTCTTTTTTCAGTACTGGGAATTGAATACAGGAGCAATCTATCACTGAACAATACTTCAGTCATTTTTTAAATTTTGAGATAGAGTCTCACTAAATTGGTTAGGTTATGCTCAAAATTGCTATCCTCCCGCCTCAGCCTCCTGAGCAGCTGAGATTACAGGCACGTGCTACCATGCCCAGCCAGAGCCAGTGTTCTTAAAGACAACCTGGATGTATCTGGGCCTTTCTGGGGAGAAAGGACTAGAGAAAGGGAGCTTCTGGGCAATCAACTCCAAGTGCAATGTCAGTAAGGAAATAGGTTATATCTTTAACAACAGGATAGATAACTTTGTTTTAGACAAAAGAAAAAGCATCAATGAGGTGTCCCACAAGCATACACCCTTAGGGTTTTATCATAATATGGACAGATCCGCGTAACAGGAAGAGGCAGTGCAGTTAAAGAACATGAAATAAATACATATCTACACTATGAGCTTTGATGACTCTTTTGAGACAGCTTTCAAGTGGTTGTACATTTGATTGAAGCAGAATTTAGTATCGAAAGCAAACATGCATACTTTGAAGGTGTTGATCAGCAACCAGCACAGTTCCCCTTACATAAGCATGTTTATGTTATGTAACATCAAAACCCAGCCCAAGAGCTAAATGATGTGCCAACCAGTGAGCACAGAAGAGAACTGCAGAGCTCAGCAGTTACCACAGTGCTCCCTTCTGATGGCACGGAGTAATAAGAAACTACTCACCTTGAGAACACCCCTCCTGCAGCTCTGAAATCCGGGCTTTTACTTTTACTCATCTTTGGCTTTGATAGTAACCTCTGTTAATTCTCATTTATTTGCTAGGTTTTGATGTGAGGAATCACATTTTAAAATCCTTCCAGTTTGAGTTTTCCAGGGAACTTAGTAATAACAAGACCATGCTCAAAATTTGAAAAAGGGGGATGGGGTGGGGGCTATAGCTCCGTGGGAAGCCCCTGGGTTCAATGCCCAGTGTGAAAAAAAAAAAGTTCTTTCAAGTGGAAAAGGTAACACAGATGAATACCTGCTGACTTTCATAAAGGTTTCTTCTGTAAATCCACTGTGTGGAGGTATTTTCAACAATAATTTATATGATATTTATAGTGCTTCATTTAGACCTGAAAGAATAACTTGGAAATTATGTAGATTTGAGTTACATTCATGCTAACTGTGGTTTGGAAGAAGTGTTTCTGTTTACATTAAATCATTGTGCTTTGATGATACTGTCTTTCATTAAAACCTGCCCACTGTAAGACCAGATTATTTTAGTCTCCCTCATCACTGCAGTGCTCATTATTGTGTTGATGTACACTGTATAAATACATGATCATCTTTGTAGCTTTTAATTTGCTTTGACTCCTTTTTCTTACACTGAAACTTGGTTTGAGGAAGGGTGGAGATGTGTCTGTTTTTGCCTACACAAGCCTGCAAACGCACAGCAGCTCTGACCATGCTGAGCACGCACTCTCCCCACCCTGATACACATGCAGGCTTTTGTATGACAACATTTTCAAGTCAACAATGCTGTTTTTTACCTCTGGAAACAGCTCATAGGAACCAAACTTTGGTTACCCTTCCCAGGACACACAGTTTTTTGAATAGTCTCTTAGAATAAAACACCATTGCTTATTTACTACAAACTCATGTTAAAAATAAAATCATCTTAATAGTGTTCATTTGTGGAAAAAAAAAATCTCACCATACTTAAAGACTAAGGAGAATTTTAATGTATACCCTATTTCTAGTTTATAACAATTTATCTTTTTATTCACTTTCCCCTGCCTTTTCACTCAGATTTCATTTTTCCAGCTCATTTGTGCACATGTCTAGATCCTCCTTATCGGTGATTCCTATTTAAGAAATTGAGATATGTAAAAGTCTGAGCTTCCTATTAGTCAAATTGGGAGGGATATTATTTTGCACCACAATGCATTTTTCAATTTACAAAATGGGCCACTTATTTTTCTAAAAATATTATTGAGCGCAATGGCCAGATGAAGTCTATGGACAGATGGATAGATGGACAGGGATGGTAGTACAACAATATGAAGTTACTTAGTGTTCCTGAACTGTATACTTAAAAGATGGTAAATTATATGTTCTGCACATTTTACCACAGTTTAAAAATACCTGTCGCTGGGCATCTCTGTGGGTTTGCACTGTGCTAGTAGCTGTGACCATGACTCTGAGGCAGGTGCCATCCCAGCCCACATGGAGTTTGCAGTGTAATGGGACAAACTATCTACTCCACTGGTCAACTAAACTAGCACCTATGGCACAGGGCTGCAGAAGAATTTCACTGCGACTGGCAACCTCGCGGTGGGGACCCAAGCAAGGCACAGGAGCTTAGAGGTCTCCATCTCAGGGAATGATGTTGCCATGAGGTGGGATTCACCATCTGCAACATGCAGGGCAGGGCTTCAGGATGAAAGAGATTGGCGTGAGCAAAAGACATGAGGTGGGAAATAAGTCAGTGTGCGTGGGAAACTGAAGGAAGGTCCCTGGGGTAGGAGGAGTGCATGGAGTAAGAGAAGTTGAAGTGGAATCAGGGTCCAGATGACTCAGGTAAAAGAGATTTGGATTTTATTCCAGGGACAATAGAAGCCCCTGAAAGTCTCAAAACAGGAGATTGGTATAAAAGTATTCATATGACACAGAAAGTCAAATATTTCATGGTCTCTTTGACGGGAGAAACCCAATATATAAATAAATGCAAAGTTAGATACAGGAGAGAGATGGTAGGAAACTGGGAGGCAGACTCTTTGGAGATGGAGAAGGGGCCAGGGGATGAGAGGGGAGAGGGGTAAAGAGGGAAGTGCATCAATAATGGTCCAAATTAGTTAATTATGTACTGCAAACGTATGACAATAAAAAAATTGTGATTGCATCGTAGGGAATAGGAAAGGGGATAGTAGAGGCAGAGAGAATAGAAAGAAGCTATTTGAGTTCCCCTAGTACTTCTAAAATATAATTTTACTTAAAAACATATTAGACTTAAAATTTTTCAAGGATTCATTTTACGTGAAATAAAAGAGGCAAATTATATCTATCGGTTCTGTGTGTTTATATAGATCTAAACTATTTGTTTTATTGATTTTTCTATTCTGCCATTTTAATTTTCCTTCTTTTGCACATTTTCCTAAATAATATAGTGAATTTTTTATCAGTGAGATAAATTACAATAATGCTATATGTAATCTGTCCAATATTGCTCGTATGTAATCGATTGCTTTGTTGTTTAAATATCTGATTAAAAACACTAAATAATATTTTCTCGAATGAAAAGATGTTCTCAAATGTTTGTTATCATGAAAGGTTGATATTATCTTTCACCTTATTTAAAACATTCAATTGCTCTTTGATTGCTGCGTGTGGTCCCTTCTGATCAAAGAGGAAGTTCTTGGAGAGGAGGCACATTGCTAAAGTGGATTGTGTACTCTAGTCGGTGTCTATTCTAATACTAAAAAATTAAAACATTTGCATCACCTAAAGTCAAGGACTGGGACACAACATACTCAGAATGGGAGTACAATTCCCACTGACAACTGTAAAATAAAGGTGCATGGATAAAATATACCAAAGCATTCTTATCATTTCATCTTCAGCCTTCACAATGTCATAACCAACTAAAGGACGGTAAGGAACACTTCACAGCCGTGCCTGCTGTGTGGCTCAAATTAGAACCCTGGATCTGATATTACTCTTGGGACAGTGATGTGAGGGAAGATGAAGCACTGTCTTTTTATTCAAGATTCTTACCCAGGCTACCCATTTCCAGCAACCTTCAAAAAATAACTGAGAAGGAAGGATGTGGAAAAAAGGAAAATGTATATTGACTTAAACTGGCTCTTAAAGCAAACAACCCCAACATTCTAGTTAACACACTGGAAGCTTTTCTCAGCCCTCACATATTTCAGTGTGAATGTGAGGACACTGATGAGGATGTGTGACAGTTGTGCCCCTAGCGGTCATTCAGGGTCGTAGGCTGGCATAGGCTTTACCCTCTTAAATGGGTGGCTTGCTAAATCACCCTGAGCCTCAACATCCCACAGTAGATGTAGGCAAAGGAGACAACATGCGGACACTTTTGCTTGGTCAGATCTGAAAGTGACACAGGAGAGAAGGGCCCCGCATTCCCAAGAGTTACTTTTATTTTTTTTTCTTTCTTCCACAGCTGCCCTCAAATGCCTTGCTGCCAAATCAGACATCCCATGGCTATTCAAGGAGACATTTGCTTTGGCTGCAGCAAACTATGGTCAGAAGTCCATCCTAGATGACTGTACCACAGCCTCTTTGGATGACTGCTGCAGCATAAGCCTTAACAAAGCCTCTTTCAAGTAGTACCTATCATAATTTCCATTGAGTAGAGCTAGTTGAGCTGGTACATGAAGACCTGGTAGCATAGAAGACTGTTAGTAAAACAGACCCAGCCAGGGCTGGTGACACTGAGGGTGGCTAGAAGCCAGAGACCATGGAGAACAAGAGATAATGCAGGCAGCTGCCATCCCCAATCACCAGAAGAGCTCTGATGGTTGCCAGGGGT